CTGGATTCTACCCTCATTTCTTGGAAAAAAAATTTGAAATATTTAAATATATAAAGCTAATCATCTTAAATACTCAAGCTATAAATTCTTAGTGGATTTATAGACTGAGTATTTAAAGCAATCATCATTTGGCTATCTAACTATTTAAATATATTTCATATAATCTAAAGAATACTAACATGTATGAAATGTAGTGTGTTTACATTACAAAAGCATCTGTTTCAAAAGTCAATTAATTGTTAATCTATGTTATTTTAAAAATATGTTTCAATCAAATTCATCTGAACTTTTAAGTCGTATATTCTTTTTTAGTTAAATCCTTGAAATATTTAAAATATCATGCATCAAGTTTTAAAAACTTAACATATGGTATAATCTATGATTTTAACAGATAATACTTTCTTATGACCTCCATTTTCATTGAAATTTTTTCTCTGACCTCATTAAAAACATCAAATTTTAACATACATTTCAAAATAAGGAAGTAAAGAGAAGACTGTTTAAAATAAATTCATACAAAAAATTAAAACATAAAATAAAACTAAATTGATTAATAAATTATTGAATTTACTAAATGCAATGTTTATGAGTAAATAAACCATTAACATCTTTCTGGATGTTATCATTATGAAAACTTTGCATAAAAACTAAACATTTTAATGTACAGTATCTATAGTACATTCAATAGTGTCAAGGATCTTTTCATCCAGAATAAATAATATTCAAGGTTTATGGACAAAATGCGTGTGCATGTGTATATTGAGAAATTTTTTAAATATTTTAATAATATAGAGATTTTATAAAAATAATTACAGAAAATATAACTACTTTCTCCAAATAATAAATTTTAATAATATAAGACTGATTTTAATATAAAAATAACTCTGTATGTTCAAACTTTCATTTTGAAAATATTCAATGAAGAAATCTATTAAAAATTTTTAATCAGTAAAATATTTACTAAAAGCAATTCATTTATGTTGGAAGAAATTAAATTTAATTGATTGTTCTGAACCTATGTATGTACAGTACATACACAGTGAATTCCCATATAACAAACATACACACACACCTATAATGCAAATTTGCATAATGTGAGGAAAAAATTGCAACTAGTACTAGGTAGATTGTCCAAGTAGTGCATTGCTGTAACTTAACTAAACAAACTAGTAACTAGTATTCATACAAAATTTGAATTTTGTCGTCCAGATGTATACATTTTCTTCTTCAACTTCCAAGCCTTAGGTTTAAACTTGTATATGCATTGTAGGAGACTTCAATGTATAAAAATATTACAAAAAATGTTCATAAGTTGTAATGTAATTGAATAGTTTAATAAGCAATAAACTTAATTAAAGCAAAGAGCATAATGTTATTCAGAAACAGAGAAAGATCATAAATGTTTATATATACAGTACAGTCGACCCCCCTATAACGTGGGTTCCTACAACGGAAATTCCTATAACGTAGCGAAAAAATTGCGGCAGTATTCATATAAAGGGACTCGTAAAACATCGTCGCCGACTCATGTCACAACAAGATTGGTCGAATCTGGACAAATAGTGGATGAGCAGCCGAACTACTTTCCGCCGTCCAGCGCCACGCTACGGAGAGTTTAGGCGAGTAAGTAGTTGAGTTTACTATCGTCTGTACAGTATGTAAATTAGGTACCATAAGTCTAATACAGCACTAATTTTATACATTTCTTGTGAAAGAAACATTTCTTATTCAACGGCCATAAAAATTATTTCTATTAATGATGTCTCCAAAGGTCAACTAATTTTTCGCAGAAAAATAATTTATCAGAAATCGCGGCCGCCATTTGGTGCGCTGCTCTGCGACGAAAACAAGCGTAAGCAATGGCGTAGTCAAACAGTGCACACTCGGTAAGTAATCCTACAATTTTTTGTTTATAGCATAGTTTATACGGATTATTCCCAAAAAATTATACGTGTTTTGGAAATGTTGAGTCGAATTAGTCTAGAATCGGTTAATTTTATAGAAGAAAACCTTTCAAACAGCCTTAGTCCGTAAACTTCACATGTGTCGGGCTGTGATTGGCTCACGTATTTAAGGATTCCTACAACGTAAAATTCTTATAAAGTGGAACGTATCTAAGCGTTATAGGGGGGGGTCCTNGCAGGCAATTATATATAATGTGTGCAATTAAAAATATATATATATATATATTTTTTTTTTTAATTGCACACATTATATATATATGCCTGCAGGGCATGTTTGTGCTCAAAGCAGTCACCCATTATCCACCTAGTTATACTACTGCTCTTCACAGATATAACAAGTAACAGTTATAACAAGGAAATTTTGCTGGTCCCCAATGCTTGTTTATAACAGAGTTTGACTGTACTGAAGAATATTTTATATACAGTGTTAAATTGAAATTTTTATATAAAATATGAAATTTTGTCATATTTTTCTGAGTTATAAATTGGAATTGTGCAATTTGACTATCATGTAAACTGAGGATAAGGCATAGTTAATAAATTATGTGAGAATAGATGAAACTCAAAATACTGTTAAACTTTTTTAACTCAAAAGGGGCAGGAAAAAACTTTAAGTTGCAGATGATTCGAGCTAGAGAAGTGAAAAATGCCAATACTGAATAGATTTCTATTTTTATCTTTCTTGCATTATATAAAGCCTCTTTGATAGTTTTTGTTTTAAACAGCCTGTACAACACCTTTCAGCAAAATGTTCAATGTAACTGATGGAATAGTACATCTTTTTGATATAAAGAGGTACTCTCATTTTGGACTGGACTGTTGTCAGCAAATAGGTGTTACATAGTAGATACAACTAACTATCCGAAAATTTCATTAAAATCTGATAATTAGGATCACTTTGAATAAAATAAATATTAAAATTTGAGTCAGGGAAGTTGAAAGTACTGTAACATAAATCTGTATTGGGGCCATGAAAAGCTTTGATTTGGAAAAAATTTGAGTTAAAGAAATTCAAGTTGGAGATGTAAAAATCCTTATGCTATTCCAATGAGACCTATCAAGTGCTTCATTTTATTAAAGAAATATTAAAGTTATATACATTTGAGTTAAAGTTTTAATGTATATAAAATAATAAAGCTCAAAGTACAACAAAATCAGTCAGATGTAGAAAGATTGCTGGATGTTAACTGTAGCATTGTAAATGTCTTTTGGAATCTTTTTCAAAACGAGATAAAAAGTAATAAAATATTTTATCATCACTTGTAATAATTTCTTGTAAATCATACCTAATGACATCTTTTCTTAAAGATTTACAACTGTTACCATTTCATATTCTTGCAATTTTACTAAATAGGGTTACATGTTTTGGATAAATGCTCTCAGAGTACATTACAAACTTTTATAAACACAAAGATGTGTAAAAAAATTTTTAAAAATACAAGAAAAACTACAAGTATTTACCTGAAATTTCCAAGCATGAGAATACTACATTATATTTATATAAATGTATTGAAAATAAGAAACTCTATATATTTTTTTTTATTGTTTTATTGAATTTTATTAAGTTTCCATCATTAGTAATACAAAAGGTAATACGATTTTGTAGTTCTTTAAAAACATTTGCCAACTGATTTACAGTAATGCCTGAAATCCCATTAGTTATTTTAGCTTTCAAGTCTTCTAATGATTGAGGTTTAGTTGCATACACTATTGTTTTCACATGTCCCCATAAAACAAAAATTAATGGAGTTCCAATCCATTACTAAATAATTTTACTTAAAACTAGGTACATTAAGCTTTCTAATACTTTTTACAGATTTTTCCTATAATAAATACTAATAGTTATAAATTTTTTAAATTGCACATGGACTTTATGGACACCCTGTATACTTATATTTAAGACAAAATAGCTTGATCTGTTCCTGAATATCTGGGAACCAAATTGACAAAGGTTTGCATTACTTGCTCTTAAATACAAGAAATCATTGAACCTAATATCATAGCATCTTGCTTCATACTTCAACACATTTATGTACTGTTCCCTAGCAGTGATTTAGAGTACTTCTTGAAGATTATCTTTATATAAGATGACCAGTTATTTCTTTGATGTTTTCTCAATAAAAGGCCCAAATAAATTGTCAGGAACATTGTAACTGGATTCAAAATCCATATGCCACAATGCTTTTCAAACAAAAGTTCTCATTTAAGTCCCAACTGATTCACAATACATATTGGCTTAAAAAACTTTACAAAAAACATTTTGTAAAGACAGTTCTGGAAGTGTGGTTCAATATTAGTTGTCATTGCAATTAATGCCCACACAGACTTTCATACGTACTCCGGAGATATTCTAACAAATGTCATGTATTACAACAAAATCCTGGAATTTTCATTTCCCACATATGGATCATGTGCCTTGTTAATGGATAAGTTTAATGACGATGTTAAGTTGTATGTGCCTGGATGCAGTGAGTGAAAACAAAGCTAAATAAGTGTATCAACAGTATGTACATAAAAAAATGTGATTTCTCATTCTTTTATCATAAAAGGCAAGAACGAAGATATTTTTAACAATAAGTGAAGATGAAGAAATGCTAACATTTTTGACTCAGTTAACAGACCATCTTCAGGTATGGACAAATGAAAGTGAAATAACAATGCCAGTTAGGAAAGATGGGATAGAGTAAATAAGCAAGCAGAGATGGAATGTGATGGTGGCTGTTGATACAAAAGTAGTGTTGCCACCTTTTGAAAAATCGCTGACCCAGACAGCAGGTCAGGTTTGTTCGAACAGAAGTTTCTGACGCATGCGCAATGTCATTGTACAATGCGAAGAATAACGTGCATGGCGGTTCTAAATCAGTTACAGTTAGGGACTAGGGACTTGTGTAGGAGCAACCTAAATTAAGAAAGAACAGGTACAGATGACTTAGCTCTATTGGATAATGCAGAGACTTGTACGATTGTACATGCAAAAAAATAATAAAAAAAAAGGGTCAACAGGTTGCGGCCACACATTGGCGTAAACAGACTAACATGGCAGAATTGCAGATGAGTTTCAGTAAGTGCAAGTTCTTTCACTGTTAAAATAGTGTAAATTTGTAAAAATATTTGCAAGAACTTTGTTTCATTGTAATTTCACAATTTCTATGAAATTCCCAGACAAAATTAATAGTTCACCTGGACAGTGAGTTAATTCCCGGACTGTCCGGGTGAAAACCTGACAGGTGGTAACACTATGCAAAAGACTAAGGAAATATTGATGAGCTAACATATTTCACATTTCGGTTAATTTTATTTGCTTATTTTCTTATTGCTGTAAATAAATTCTTTTGAAAAATACATCATAACTGACTATATATAGAAAACAGAAGGTATCCTTTTTTTGCCAATTCATATAATTTAATAAGCTAAAAGAATAACATTTATCATCATCAGAAATTCATTAATTTAAACATCGTTTATTAATTTCATCAGTTATCTTTTTCTTTTAAGTATTTATCAATTATATATATTAAATCTATTATTGTGAAAAAATAAAGATGAAATAATTTTATGTTTGCATTGAGCAAATATACATAACAATGAATAAATTATATTTATTTTTGACTAATTCTTTTATATAAAATCAAAATTTGAACAGTAATTAACATATTAACAATTCCAAAAATTTTACTTCAACTTTTTAAACAAAATTATTTAAATTTAAACAAATTTATTAAGTTAATCCTAAAAACAAATGAACAGACTGAAAATAAAGTAAGGAGAGATAATATTAATATAATTAACAAAAAGAAGTAATAATAATTTAGAAGGCCATTAGAAATCCAAAATGTTAACTTCAGAATTACTGATAATGAAACCAGATAACCCTGACCAATTTTAAACTGAGATGTACATTGAGATATTTAATTTCATTATGATTGTATTAAGGTAAAATTTTTCAGTTGCATGAAAGTTATAAAAATAATAATAATTTGAAGGTAAGCATTACATTTGTGTAAATTATAAAAGGCATTTTATCCAAATGAAACATCCAAACATGTTAAATGCGTAAAGTAATAAAATTCAAAATTTTATCTACAGTAATTATTAGAAAATTTATTTAACTAAAATTAATAGTCAGCATCAAATCAAATTTATATAAATAAAAAACACACTTTTATAACCATTTAAAAGTGAGCATTTTGGATGAGCAAAACAAAATGTCATGTCCTTCAAATCTGATGTTCACCCGAGTTCAAGAATTATTCAGATCATTTTATTCCCAGATATTTAAAAATTATCCATCTTAAAAAAACTGGATGAAATATCAAATAAAAACACATTCCTACTTTGAAATTCAACCTTTAAAGCAGAAAAATAAGATTAACAATAAAATTTTAGTTAAGCTATCAATATTTATTCAGTATACTGTATAATTTATATATATTCTGTATAAAGTATACTCTGCATACTAACTCAATATTTCAAATTCAGTACTGTAACAATTATGCAATACCATGCAAATACATTTATATTTATTATATTTATGTATGTAAAATCAAAATTTTAAGTTAACTCAAGGATGAAGTGCTAATAAAACTATTCAATTGCATTTTGAGTGCACAAAAAAAAATCTTAAAGTTTTGATATATAAATGTTTTACTGTAATGTTCTTGCAAACTCTTAAAGATAGAAATTTATTTGTCAAAAGTTAAGACTATATACAACCAATTCTTTTTTACATGGTAGATAAGTTCCTGAAATATCCTTATAGAAAAATGAAGATTGATTCCAGATACAGCAACAAATACAAAAGCAGCACACATTATAAACAAAGGATTTGACGAGAAAGAAAAAAATGACATTTTTCTCCTTTGAAATAAGTTCTCCATAGCAATTCTGTGCATATGATACAGGAATACAATTGGATGGTTATGTATACTTTATTTTATAAAAAGGATAAGCAGTTTAGGCTATTTGCCTGTCTTCAGTCCTCATTACACATATGAAACTGAAATGATATATTTATCATAGTTGTCACTAATAAATACATCATAACATTTTCATTTTTTTTTATTACATCTTAACTGAGAGTTAATTATATTTTCCAGAAATTAATTTATGTATATGCCAGGTTTCCACTGAGTATTTTGACACCAAAATCATCAAAACCTAACATGGAACTTATTTTTTTAATTCAGACACAAAAGTACAAGAATCATCCCAGAAGCCTGGGCTTTGCCCAGGCAATAAGAATTTATAAAGATCATCTCAGGAAGAAAATCTGTCTCATCAATATCTATCATTACTATATGACATAACTGCACTGTGCTCATTATAATTATGTAATTCATGTGATATATATATAATATATATATTATATATATTTATCTATCAAATTACAAATAAATAAATAAATAAATAAATAAATATATATATATACTAGCTGTTACCAGCGACTTTGCACGTGCAGATTTTCCAAGCAAACCCCATTTATATTCAGTATTTCAACAACGATAGTAATTGTTACATAACACCTACCACTGAGAATCAAATAAACTGTTTTCAATTTGATCAATTTTTTGGAACATTTACAATCATTCTATAATTGAACCAATATGCAATAACAAATTCAAATTTAAAACAGTTCGAACATTTGGTTAAAAAATTGAAATATATAAAAATGTTTATAACAATGTCTGAAATGTTATCAATTTAATACACCTATGTACTCAATGAAAACTAAACATAGTTGAAAACAAAAGATCGCATCTAAAATAGTGCAGTAAAAGATGTTCTTCAGGTTAAGCCTTAATCCTTTCCCTCTCCCCCGCAGGAAAGTGTCGAAAAATCCCTTCTTAGTGTGTGTTTTCATGACATACCCTAACTGTGTACAAAATTTCACCTCTTTAGGTTCAGTGGTTTGCTCTGGGTGATGATGAATCACTCAGTCAGTCAGTCAGGACAAGTAATTTTATATATTTAGATTAATAATATAGTATTATTGTTTAGAAGAAGACATATCAATTAAAACATTAGGCAATTCCAATTATGATCATGGAGACTGTTTTGCCGATGATTCAGTAGCACTCGATTTAAATTAATAAAGAACTTGTCCAGTGTTGTTTTTTTTGTCTGCTTTTTAAAACTTCTCTGAAGTAGGAAATTACATTATCATTGAATATATTTGTATTTTGGTTGACTATAGCAACATTTCGGTGCCATTTTGGAGCAATTGGAACTTGGTTTCTCTCATTGATTATTTTTCAGTATCTCAACAATACACACGACGACTGCACAAAGCAGACTGATTAACTACAGCTAGCTAAGATTGGTGTGGGCATGCAATTGTAGTGCCACTTCAGGTGTTGAGAATGATGACGAATACAGAAAATACTAACAAATATGGAAAAATAAAAATAAATCATCATAATGTGACGAATATCGAATAGTATGAACATAGAGGTTCCATTGTATTGATTAAAACAATTTATAGCTTTTGTACTGTTCTCAATAAAATAACAATTTATACAGAAATTTAAAAGTAAAACTGTGAAAGAAAACTTATTTATATAATGACATCAATGAAAGATGTGTAATTTTCTAGGCTGCTATATAAATATTTAAAGTAAAACAGTAAATAAAAATAAAACTGCTCTTTAAACATATTTTTAAAGACATTTGAACTTAAAGTTAATGAAACTTTAACAAACATAAAACTACTTATCACATGATATTTTCTTTAAGATTTTATATCAAAAGTATTTTTCATTGTTATATACAAAATGTTGGATTTTTAAAAATTTTTTCACATACAAAAAACATAACCGTCTAAATGTGACTTATTTTTGTAAAGACTTAAATCTTAATTAAATCAAACTACCATTTACATGACTTATGTACAGCTTTTAAGTAAAGCAGGAAAATATGGGTACTTATGGGTTAAGAGGACGCCAGTCGGAAATAGTGTTTTTTCCGAATAATGCAATTTTTTATGTCAAATTTAATACAATTGTTAAATCAAACAATAAATTACGATTTATAAAGATATAACAAAATTTCACAAATTCTAATGATAAACCACTTGAATATGCAAATTGCTTTGTAGTGTATACGGCAAATATGGCAAACAGGTGATATCTATAATCATCCTAACCTTATCAGTAAATTTTCTTTTTTTTTAGATTTAAATTTACTAGTCTATTGTTATTTTCATTCAAAATCGCAACTTTGATCGCTATTTCTGACTGGCGTCCTCTTACCCATAAGTACCAAAATATGTTTAAAATAAAATAAGTGATTTACTTTGAGTAGATTTTTATGATAAATATTGAAATAAGATCAGGACTATGGTGTTAGAGGTGGAAGAAAAGTCATTGCTAAAGGAATTGGAAAAAATGAAACAATTCCTTTTTTTTTTTTTGTTATATACAGTACTTTATATTATGCTCCTGACAAGAGGTGCTAACGTCCTATCTTGCATTATACAAGCACCTGTAACGCATGATCTTATTTTATGATGATCCCTCTACTTAATGATCTTTCTTTACATATCACTAATTATTGTTGATTTTAATACATTCTGCATTAGCTAATTTAAAATTTTATTGTCAAAAGACCCATACAAAATAAGAAAACGTAGGTTAAATTTAATGTTTTTGAATACTTTACTGTAACTACAGATGGAATAATTTTGTTTGTTAATGTGTAGTTGATGATGATGATAGGGAAGATAATAAAAAATACAGTGAAAGAAAAATAAGTACTTTCAATTTCAATAGAAGTGCATGATTCCTATGATTTACTTTAAAATTGTTTAAGAATGGGTAAAATTCAGTTTGTAGTGATGAAATGCTATGCTGGGTTAATATAACCAAAGTATATTCTAAGTTTTTACTAATAGATAAGTCAAGTTGGACCTTCTAAATTCTGTTGGTATTGGGGGCTTGGTCTACTAACTCCAAAGCCCTGGATAAGTCTCAAAATTTTGGACTTTATTATGGACTTAGCTTATTATGGATGTTAGCTTTATGGACTCCCATATGCTGCTTTACTTGATATATTCCCACAACTCATAGTGCTACATTGTGTCACAACTAATTGTATGGCTTATGGAATGACACAGTTAAAATGTATTATAATTTCAAATGAGAAATGTGAAGTGTACAAAAGTAAGGAATGTAAATTGTGTAAAAAATAAAAACAAAAGTTGAATTCTTTCGTTTAAAAATTTATAAAAGGTATAAATGTTAAAAAGAAACCCAAAAGCATTAAAAGAGTTGGTATATTTGGATTAAATGCTTTTTGGGATTTTCAACTCCATCTTCAGATCAACAATGTTTGATGTTCTGACAATTCAAACAAAACAACTGTTCATACATAACTTTTTGAATCTAACTGACCAACATTACAGATTCAAACATTTCTTTAATAAAAATTGATAGATATTTTAAAATTAACAATATTTGAAATAAATAAAAAAATAAAAGTGAAATAATAATGGTCAGTGCATAAACTAAGAAACAAAAAACAATAAAACAAAATATAGGTAGATAAGGCACAACATAACCAAAAATGATAAAAATTAAGAATAAAATAATAGTAAATAAAAACACAGATAATTCAGTTGTAAGTACAGACATCTGTTAAAACAAAAGTGTTAAAACACAATGTGAAATGTCAGTCTGGCTTATGCAAATTTGTACAATATAAACAGCCAAGATTTGGAAAGCAGCTTTACCTGAAGTTTTCAGGGAAAGGATCATTACCATAGGGACAAACTAAGTCATAGCCAAAGATCTAATTTGTTTCCTTCTCTTCTTTTATTTAACCTTCTTGTTTTTAGAATTTAGTTTTGGATTTAGTTATTAACAACAGATTTACATTGCAAATGACTTGTTCTCCCCTATCTGTATGCAAATGAGTCCATCACGTCAGCTTTTCATGTTATATGAGAATGACATATTTGTTAACTATTTTCAATTTGATTTCAACTGTAAATGTCACTTGTATTCTACAATAACAAATTTTTTACTTTCTCATTATTTTTCAAAAAGGTAATAACACAGTTATTTTGAGAGCACTAATAGAGTTACAACAAAGTAATCTGTAGGTATGATGACGACGTGTGGACAAATTCATGGAAGCTCATATTAAAGACTATTTCATTTCTTGTAGTTTTCAAAAAGAAAAACAAAATAATAATAATAATTGCAACATTTTAACCCATATTCTATAAGTTATATTCAAACAAATTTTGCTTAGGAATTTTCAAATAGCAATACTGTATTTTTTGACCTTGCTGAAAAATAATGCCACTCAACATGACCTGGGAATGTACCATACAAAGTTGCATGCAGTGTTCAAATAGCTTTATTGCTTTATTTTTACCAAATAAATTTTTCATGCTCTAAATTTCAAATTTCATGCTATAAATTTCTCAATTCATATAATTCAAGATATTTTAATAAATTTTAATTTATTACTTAATTTACTTAAAAACAAATGACAAATTCAGGATGCTAATACTTTTATTAAAAAAAAATTCTTTCCAGATTATAAAACTCACTCAATAGATAATAATTCATAAAATATTTGAAATTAAGAATAAAAACAAAAATTTTTCTATATTTGTACAAACATAAACAACCATCAACCCAATAAGGCTGGATTATATCACACCATAAACTTAGGGTGAGACTATGCAGATGCGAGCGAGCAAGAATACGTGGCGAGAAGAGGCGAGAGGCGATAAATATCAAACCCCATCAGATATGTGTGAGAACCGGAAATTTGCTCATGCCGGCAAGATTTCTCGCTCATGCATGTTTTTCTTTGTGAGAACTATATCACTCACAACTTCACACTTGCTACTAAATTTGGGTCCGCATAGTTGCACCCTTATCACAAGACAGCACCTAATGCCTACCTCCATGCAAAATTACAATATTAAATTATAGCCAGACGTAATCAAGATTCGTACAAACTCGAAATCATCCAGTAATATTACACTATAAAGTTTGAAAATATAAAAGTTGACAGTAGAATTTCGTATATTAGAAGAAAAGTCTTGGCTATCCAAAGCAATCAGTTTTATTTATTTATTTATTTATTTTTGTTTATCAGAATTGTGCCAACTCGAAATCATCCAGTAATATTACACTATAAAGTTTGAAAATATAAAAGTTGACAGTAGAATTTCGAATATTAGAAGAAAAGTCTTGAATAAATTTTTTTTTTTGTATGTTTTGTAACTACGCTGTTTACACAAAGTTCCTTATACAGTCCAACCTCTGAATAATGGCCACTGTTGGGAACATAAAAACTGGCCGTTGTTTGGAGGTCATTTTGTANGACAGATTCAATTAATTGATCCCATTAAGAAGGAGCTTAGTAAATTATATAATGAAGAGGTAAGTCAAATTAAATTTTTAAGTTGAGCTTTTGTTGTAATTTACTTATTTTTAATTTGAATCCTGAAATTCTGCAATAAATGTCATTTCGCTAATAATTTCTCTAAATATTTGAATACATATTTTGTATTAGAACAAATGAATCATCACTTTTATGTTTTTTTTTTTAATGTTTACTTTTAATTACCTTATTATACATTTGAAATTATTCCGAATTATTGTAATAAAACAGTCTCTACCACAATACTGGTGTAATTTAGTAATAAATACACATAAACACCAAAAACCCAGCATATAATGTACACATTTAAACAAAAATAATGTTTTCTTCCATTTTAAATGTTCATCATTAGGTTAGAAGATATGCAGATGGAAAGAAATATGTATTCTAAAGATAGAACACCACTACAAATTTAAAAATTGAAATTGCACACATCCACAGTGACAATATCATTTCATAACAGTTTCAGTTTTTAAATTTGTAGTGGTGTTCTATTTTGAGAATACACATTGCTTTCTATCTGCATATCTCTTAACCTGAAGATGACCATTTAAAATGAAGAAAATGTTTTTCTATTTAAATACATTATTTGCTGGCTTTGGTGTTTAGATGTTTTTATTATTGTAACAAAAGTTTATAATTTGAAAAATCATTAATGTTTTTAAATAAATTTATTTTTCTTTTGAAAGTATGCTTACTGTATTTAAATTAATATTCTCTTAAGAAAAATACTCTAGGTTCCTAGGATATAAATCTACAATTCTACTTTGATTTAATTTAGAAGATTGATGTTGTGAACATGATAGCAAATATGTGAGATTAGACTTAAAAGATGCCAGAAATTTAATTCCTAATGTCTTTTATAGTAAATCTCATATATTTACAGAGTAATTGGAATGCAGTTTTAAAAAGTTTGAAAAAGTAAACATTTGTCATAACTTTATTATTGCAGAAATTCAGAAAGTTCATTACTGTATTTCTCAGTTATTAGTAATTAAGTAATACAGATCAATTTGTCTATAAACCAACTTAAAGATATAAAAATAATTTACAAAAAACTTAAATCAGCAACAGTTTTATTTTTCTCTTCAAACACAAATGTTTTTGATCATTTTCAATGATTTTTTTTCAAGCATTTTCTTTTAATATAAGAATTTGAAGTGTAATGGAATATTGATGAANAAACCATTCTATAGAAGTTATCTATGGAATATTATCAATAATTTTCTCCTCTTAAAATAATTTTTTACACAGAATAATCTAATTAAAAATAAATGTGTTAAAAATATAATTACTAAAATTAATTTGAAATTAGATTAATTGCAAAGTTTTAGTAATTCAAAATTTTATATTATTATGAAATTAGGAAGTAAATAAATGTATTTTATCTTAATACTTAATTGTAACAATATTATTTTACCTTTCTTGTATCAGAGCAAAATGGCATGTGCATTGGAATGTGGCATACACCTAGTGGAGAAGATGGAGAACCATCATAAAAAGTGCTAGCTCTTTTGGTTGTTCTGAAAGATTTGTATTATAGATAATTATAAATAACTATTTTTTAAAATAAATTAACATTTAATTTAATACATCTAAAACTTCACCTATCAATAAATTGATCAGGAAATACTAAATCCCCAGGATGAATTTCTTCTCTTAAAGAACCGCAAGCTGAAGTAGCTAATATATGAGTACAATTGACTTCTTTTAAAGCCCATATATTAGCTCTATAATTTATATTAGAAGGCATAATACTGTGATTTCTTGCATGTATGAAATAAAATTTTAAATATACAGTATATATTAAACTTTGAATATCTATAGTGATAAGTTGTAAGAGTTAACGGCCGGATGACCGAGCGATCAAGGTGGCAGCTTTGACCGCTCTGGAAAATCCGGAATGGAAATATCCCCAGGAATTTTCCGGGGGTGGTCCGTACGGACACGTCGGTTTTACCAACCGGCCGCCCCATTGTAAGCCTGGCCGAACTCATAATTGGCATGCTAAATGAGGCCATATAATTGTTTAGCTTGTTTTTCAATAGAATCTAAATCGTTTCTTAATTCCTGAACAAATCCTATAAGACTCATATAAAGTGCAAGCTACATTTAAATTACCAGTTATTTCTTACAACAATTTGCTTGTTGCATTAATTCTATTTAATATTTTGTTCCACAACGCAGTTATTAAGCAAAATTCAAAACTTTTCATATTATCATATATCAACCTCTTGCTTCTATTTGGGTTACTGTTTTTTGAGACACGTCTTTTTTTAATTTTTGAAGTGCTGATTTAATTTCATTGAATCTATTGATAATGGCTGTAATAGCATCCTCTCTTGCTGACCGTCTAGTGTCACTAATAGGTTTAATAGTAAGCGGTTTATTGTTCTCTTGGAAAAGATTTTTTACTAAATTCCATCGGTATGTCGACGCAACAAAGAAGTGTAAATATTTTGAATAGTACTGGAATATCTAACTGCCAATGGACAACAATCTGCAGCAACATTACCTACAAGATTTAAAGAATGACTGCTGCATGGAACATAATAAGCGCTTTCACTGTAACTTTTTATTTTTGCTTGAAGACCATTGTACTTGCCAGATAAATTCGACGCGTTGTCATAGCTTTGGACTCTGCAATTTTTTATATCGACTTTTAATTAAACTATCCAAATAACTTACAACCGATTCCTCTAAACAGTCAGCAGTATGCGAAAAAATAGGAATAAAATTTAAAAATCGCTCAACAGGGCTACCATTTGCCAAAACATAGCTAACTATTATTGTCATCTGATCAACGTGAATTACATCAGGCGTTGAATCTAATATTAAATAATAATATTTTGCTTCTTTTAGTTCATTTAAAATAGTGCTCCTTGATTTCTCCGCCATAATTTTAACAAATTCGTCACAGATTATTGGGGACAAATAGTTGACGTGCCCAGAACCGGTTTTTTTTTATATTTTATCAAATGGCTTGCTTAGAAAGGATCAAATTCACTAAGGTACTGTAGTGCACTTAAATAGTTTCCATTATTCGACTCAAATAATTTAGTTGTTGAGCCATAAAATGCCAAGCCATTTTAGACAAAAAAATTATTGTTGAGACGATCCTTTTTAATACTTCTCTCCGATACAGTTTTTCCGTATTCCATTGGTTGTTGATTTGTACATCAATTCGACCCTTCAAATTTGATTTAGCAATAAATGTACCTAGATAAGTTCTATGGTCAATCAAATTTTCATGATCTTTTAACCTACCGTGTATGTTTTCCAATTGTCAAAACCCTGCTTTTGTGAAAATTCTGTATTTTTGTTAGAAAACAATTTACATACATAGCAATATACAGACTTATTTTTTCTTCTGTAAATAAGCCTTTCTCTATTAACAATTACTCCATTACACTTTTCTTCCATAAATGCTGTTTTATGCGAGCTTTTTGTAATGTTTTTTTTTTTGCCTTGTACTGTACAGTACTTGAAATTCTTTTTTTTTTTTTGCCTCATGTATAAATTCAATATTCTGATGAGGGTTGTTTCTAATTTAAATATTTTTCATCTTTAGCGTTAAAACTTCTAGCCATTCATCAATGTCATTTGAAAATGATTCATAAGTTTTACGTAATAATTGTTCACTGTGATCGTTAGTTTCTTGGGTTTTCAAAAGATTTTATATTCTTCAACGGCATCTTCTTCATATTGTTGTTGGAGAGTTTTTGTTCCTCATTTTTACTGTCCGTTTCTTGATTTTGTGTTTATTTTTTTTCTTAATATGTCAGATAATTCCGCAATTTGGAAATTGATGTAAATAAAATTGATGAGATCAGTCAAGAATCCAGCAGAGGTGTCCAAAATAGTTTCACTCTGCTTCTCACCATACGTACTTACATGTTGGTCTAGCTTTGTACCATCTGTGTCTATTACATTGTAAAACTACTTGAGTTTGTTCACGTGATCCAGGCCTACCTTTATGACTCTACAAGTGATTCTATAGCAAGCGTTATCTCGGCTGTGAAGTCATCGCCGTCACCATCATCATGTACAGTACATATAGCCTTTATCAGCGGTCGCCAACCTTTCTGATCTCAGGAACACTAAATTCACAATTTTGAATTCTGCGGACCAGTATCATAATTTTTTTAAACGATACAAACATCTGTATAATAATGATCATAAAAGTTTCATTTTACTTTATTAATACGAAATTCGATTGTTTAATTATAACAAATTAGTGTGAAGTTGCTGCTTGTTTGAAATAAGTTTATAGATTCTTGGCTCTTTTCCACGAAGAACGGCAATTGCACTCACTATTTATTGTTTATTAATTATTGATTTATTGATATTATTATTTACTGATAACAGTCATTTCGTGATTGGTTATAGATGCGAATAAAAAACTCCAAGGAGTGAGAAAAAGCAATCAAGCATTTGGCATTTCTTTCGTAATACTTCGCATAACTTTGAATTGATCAATGTCCAAATTTCTGAACGGACTACCAAAATTTTTTGGAGGACCATCAGTAGTCCACTAACCACCGATTAGCGACCGCTTGCATAAATTACACAAAGGAGATTTTTGTTAGCTGAATTTTTATATTTTTAGGCAGGCTGGAACGAAGTTTCGATAGATGGGATAGGTCTGCATATGTCAGTAAGCTTTTTGTTTCCGAATCCGATGATTTCTTTCCCGATATATCGTGCTCTAAAGATTTGAAGTTTTCCTATCGTTTTGTATAAATTATTAGCGAGGTTGCGGCCGAAGTTTTCATCTCTAAAACGTGAACGTCGAACGTCGAGCGCCGCTTACAAGATAGCGGCGCTCGACGTTTGACGTTCACGTTTTAGAGATGAAAACTTCGGCCGCAACCTCTCTATTAAGAGAATAAAAAAACTTTTTGCAACATTGAAATTTTGCAACAATTTCCTAACAGGTTCATCTATGTATATGTTACTGTGAAAGACCGAAATTAGAGAATGTCGATATTCTCCGGTG